CCTCCTCCTCTCCCTCCCTCCTCCTCCTCCTCCCTCCTCCTCCTCCTCCTCCTCCTCCTCCTCCTCCCTCCTCCCTCCTCCTTCCTCCCTCCCTCCCTCGACGTCCCGTCCTCCCTCCATCACTCCATTCTCGCTCCTCACTCCCCAGAATCAGTCAGCACCGAATCGCGAAATCGAATCGGGTCTGAACCCGCTCGTCGGATCGGGCCAAATCTGCACGGAGTCGGAATCGGAGCGGATCGGATCGGCCGCGCCAGGATGCACATCGGCGCCTCGCGAGCATCAGGCCGCATCGCTTCGCAGGAGGAGGAGAAGGAGGACGGGAGGGAGGGAGGGAGGGCCAGCCGAAATCGACATCGGATCGGGCCGATGAGGTCGAAGCGGCTCCCGGCCCCTGCCATGCTCGGGCCTTGGGGAACCAAGGCAGGTTCTTCGAGGCCTTCTGCAGCCAGTCGATGCACAGGCTCTCGAGCACCGCGGACATCCGCCGGCCCCCGTGCTGACCGACGGGGTGCGCAGGAAACCGGGAGCGCGGCGGAAAGGCGCGCGGGCCTGCGTACGATCGTCGGCAGACAGGACTGCCCAAGGGCGTCCGCTTCTTGTGGGGAGCGAGGGGGCCCTCTGAAGGCCAGAGTGGCCGCTCGGCAAACCAGATGGACACTCCGAAGTCCCTTCCCTGCCCCTTGCTACTGTATCCTTCGCCTTCTCCCCAGTCATCGTTCGCCTCCTACTCCTCCCAGGAGAGCCCAGACTCGGATCGATAAGTCGAATCGGCGATCGAAATGAATCGGATCGGCGGAAATCGGCAGCCAAGTCGGGAGGAATCGAATCGGCAGAAATCGGCAGAGCAGACAGGCATCATTGAGAAATCGGGATCCAAATCGGAATCCGAAGTCGAATCGAATCGGGATCGGAATTGATGTAAATCGGCTCGAGTCGAATCGGAGGAATCGTAGCGAGCCCTGCCTCCCCGTCCCCGGTGCATCTGCAGAGTGTGGCCGACCGCCTGCCAGATAGCAAGAGCGAGACAGTGCGACTGGAAGCGGTCCATCCAGATGTCGCCATGGATTGCTGGCCTTGGCAGCAAGCACCATCGCCGTCATCCAAACCATCCCTACCACCGTTACCGCTGTCATCCTCACCATCATCACGGCCGTCGTCGTCGTCGACGTCCGCATCTGCACCATCATCCTCATCATGACCCAGAACAGCAGAAACACCACAACCACCAACAACCACCAACAGCAACAACAACGACAATTACATGAGCAGCAGCAACAACAACTACAACAGCAACCGCAACAACAACAACAACAACAACAACAGCAGCACCAACAGCAGCAACAACAACAACAACACTAACAACAACGACAACAACAACAACAACAACAACAACAACAACAACAACAACAACAACAACAACAACAACAACGACGACAACAGCAACATCAGCAGCAGCAACAGCAACAATCAGTTTAAGACTATTCGTTTGTCGTTCTTACCTGCTCGCGTGCAACAACACGTATGTCCCAAAACATTGGTACCCGCCCTCTTCGTGTTCGATCGTACCCCCTGGGGGGTATATCTTCCTTACCTGCCGCGTGCACTTGGTGCAGCCTCTGAAATCGGGGAAGAGAGGACGGATGGAAGGAGGGAGAAGGATGGAGCACGGGATTGGCAGGAAAGGGGCCAGGAATGAAAACACGTGGCAGAACCAGACAGGCCCATCGGGCGGGTAAACCCTCACGGGCGGGTCGGGACAAGTGCTCCTCCCAGGGCTAGCACCGTGCTTTTGTTTACAATGGAGATGCCACCAAAATGTGCCTCTGGCCCCCGGCTTACAACAACAGCGTCTCTCGCCGGACACTTCCTCCCAATGGAATCCAAAATCGCGCTCTCGCGCGGCACGTCCTCACTATGTATACGGGAACGGCACTCTCGGGTGGGACTTCCTCACAATGTATTCCGACGCCGCGCCCTCGACACTTAGGAATCACGCTCTCGCTATGGAGTTCCTCACAGTGTTTTTGGAAAATCGCACTATCGCTCGAGACTTCCTCGCGATTCATGCAGGACGCACGCTTCAGCAACCCGCGTGCCCTTGTCCCCTCCTTGCATCCGTCCTCGCTTGACCTGCCGCAGGGGCTGCACGAAATACACGCTGCAGGTAAGAAAGATACACCCCTAAGAGGGTACGATCGAAAGCGACGAGGGCGGGTATCGAGGGCTTGGGACATACGTGTTGAATGGCACGCGAGCGGGCACGAGCGATCAGTCTTAACATGATTGTTGTTGCTAGTGTTGTAAGTCGGGGGCCAGGGGCCCAATCTGAGCCACAAAACTGCCCCTTGTAGAAGACAGGGTGCGAGCCCTGGGAGGCGCACTTAAGTGAAAAAGCACAATGGGCACTACGGGCTGGATCAACGATGATTATGCGTTCGAAATGAGAACTCAACAAATATCAGTTTAAGGCTGTTCAATATTAACTGCTCGCGTGCCATTCAACACGCATGTCCCACACCATCGGTACCTGTCCCCTTCGTCTTCGATCGCACCCACATTTAGGGTATATATTCCTACTTTCCCTAAGACGTCGACAACGAAACCAAAACCAGCGTCATCGACATCGTCGTCGGTAATAGCGTCACCAACGTCAACAAAGTCAACATCACCAGCATCGTCACTGTCCTCGCCATCGTCGACATCACCGTTACCGTCATCAGCAGAATCAGCATCCTCATCACCACCACCATCATCATCATCATCATCATCATCATCATCATCATCATCATCATCATCAGCCTCAGCCTCCGCAGCAGACTCATCATCATCATTATCATCATCATCATCAGAAGCAGCATCATCAGCATCATCATCATAAACAGCATCAACATCACCAATAGCATCATCCTACTCATCGTCCTCACCATCATCATCAGTATCATCAGCATCAGCATCCTCATCGCCACCACCGTCGCCGTCGCTCTCGTCGTCGTCGCCCTCGTCGTCGACGCTCTCGTCGCCGTCGCCCTTAACATCATTATCATCGCCGTCGTCATCATCGCCACCGTGCGTTGGTAATGTTTGGTTCTGACGCAACACATGTCTCTCTCTGTCTGTAAAAAGTCCCTGGGCGTGCACCTAAAACCACCTCTCACGGGACGCGCAAAGACCCCGACCCGAAACGTGGCTCTGAGGACGCCACGCTCGCAGCCCGCCGATGCGTCACGAACCGAGGCGACAGCAGAGCAACCGAAACGGCCAGGGCTTAAAAAGCGACGGGCCCGTGGTGGCACCTGAACATCGTTCAACCGATCGCTATCCCCACTGGCGTGGCGTGGCCTTAACCCCGCTGGTAAACTTAGCCAACCAGTAGGGGGAAATATGAACCCGGCTCATCAGCACGCACAAAAACTACAAAAACATCAGCACACAAAAACATCAGCACACACAAAAAAACATCAGCACACACCAAAACATCAGCACACACAAAAACACCAGCACACACACACACACACACCCACACACACACACAGAAACGTCAGCACACACACACACAGAAACACACAGCTGGGGCCCAAAACATCAGCACACACAAAAACAAACAACTGGTTCCCTGGATGATATCAGCCTGTTCCTTCGGGATCCGCGGGGCCTATCCACGCCCAGGAGGGTGGGCTGGTGGGGTTACGTCGGGCATGCCCCTCTACAGAGGGAAGATTCAGAAATAGTAAAAAAATCTCGGGACGATGGTCCTACTATTTTGGATCATTTGGGGAATGTTTTAAAATGTGCTCTATGCTTCGCCCAGATTCTGCCTGTAGGGGGACATGCCCGACCTAATGGCGAGGCTGAGATAATTACGATGGCCCAGTGGGTTTGGGATAGCTTGGACGATGCTGAGCACCACACGCGCCCAGACCCGCCCGCAGCTGCGCTGACATCACGCCGCCTCAGGCCTTTTTGGCCTTCTTCTTCTTTGCGGGAGCCGCCGCCTCCTCCTTGGGCGCATCGGCGGCCTCGGCCTTGCGCTTCTTGCCGCCGTCCCCGGCCGGCGCGGCCTCGGCCTTCGGAGACGACTTCGGGGACGCCTTCGCCGCGGCCTCGGGGGCCGTCTTCTTGATGCCGCCCGGGAGGGGGGCCGAGAATGCCTCCAGGTTCCTGTCGCTCTCTGGCGTCGCCTTGCAGTAGGCGCTCCATGCGCCCAGCAGCTGGCTCTTCCAGTCGCCGGCGACCTTCGCAGCTGCTGGGGGCAGCTTCTCGCCGTGCTTCAGCACGTGGAAATTGGCGCCCTCCGCATCCACCACCTGCAGAACGCCGGTCTGACTGCTGCAGAACTTCTTGTAGCCGCCGAGGGCGCCCTTGAACTTCGCGTTCCAGTCGTTGGGCACGTAGGCCCCCTTACCCTGCGCGCCTGGCTTGGCGATGCCTTTCAATATCAGCTCCACCGCCTCCTTGGTGAGCCGCGCCTTCTCCTCGTCGCTCACTGGGGCGGCCCCCCCCTTCGGCTCCTTGTTGCCCTCCTTTTTGCCCTCCTTCTTGCCCTCCTTCTTGGCCTCCGTCTTGGGCCCAGCGGCCGGTGCGGCCTTCGGGCTCTGTTTGGGGCTAATCTTCGGGCTCTTCGCGGGCGCCTCCGCGGCGTCCGCGGCCTCGGCCTTCTTCTTCAGGTTCTTCTTCACCTTGGCCATGGGCCCGGCGGGCGCTGACGCCCCCCCGTGCGTCGGCGAAGGCGCGCCCGCCGCAGAGGTGCCTTGAAGCCAAAATGGCTGCGGCACGGAGAGGATGTTTGGGGCGGGGAGCGCCTTTCACAGGCGCTCGGCCTGAGAAGCACCCTCGGGCTGCGTCGGCACCCCCGCCCCGAGCGTTAGAGCACCCCCGTTTCACCTCCTCCTCCTCCTCCTCCTCCTCCTCCTCCTGCTCCTCCTCCTCCTCCTCCTCCTCCTCCTCCTCCTCCCCTCCTCCTCCTCTCCTCCCTCCTCCTCCGCCTCCCTCCTCCTCCTCCCTCCTCCTCCTGCTCCTCTCCTCCTCCTCCTCCTCCTCCTCCTCCTCCTACTCCTCCTCCTCCTCCTCTGCCCCCCCCCCCCTTCTCCCCCGACGACGTCCTGCCGTTTGCCCCCCATCCATCCGCGCATGCTTCTCCGCACCGAAGGACTCTTCCGAGAGCTGCCCTGTGCGTCTTCCAATCGACATGCACAATCGAACTCGATTGGAGAGGACACGCGAGGGGGCACAGGAGACCTTTCCGAGGGCCAAACTGCCACGGGAATGTAAAGGCATGGGTCGCTAAACACAGGGCGCAGGGGTACCCTTCATTTGGGAGGGCCGACCCACGAATCAACCTCGAATGCATGCCCTGTGCGTTTTCCTCTTGCCGAGCCGCGGCATGTGCATCCTGCTTCCTGGCATTCTCCTGCTTCCGCTTTGCGTGCCTGGAACACTCCTGCCCCCCATCTGCGGTACCTCGTTCTGAACACTGCTCTGAATCCGACCTCCTCCTCCTCCTCCTCCTCCTCCTCCTCCTCCTCCTCCTCCTCCTGCGCTCCACCTCCTCCATCCTCCGTTTTCTTGTTTCCAACCCTCCTATGGTTGGGCACTCGTTTGAATAGAGCAGTGTGGTCGCCACGTCCTTCTCCTCCTCCCCCCTTCTCCCCTCCTCCTCTCCTGTCTCCTGTGTTCCCCTCTCCTCTTCTCTCGTGCCGTCGGGCTGCGATCTGCGAAACTGTCGCCACTTTCGTGGGCTCCTGGGGTCCCAGCGGAGGTACGTCCAACGCGGACCACCTCGAGACCTCGCCGCCCCCTGGGGGGCTGCGATCTGCGAAACGGTCGCCACTTTCGTGGGCTCCTGGGAGGCCCAGCGGAGGTACGTCCAACGCGGAGCCCCCCACCCCGGTTCGAACCCCCCCCCTCCCCTTACAGCTCAGAAGGCCCCCCCTCCGGTACGACGCCCCCCCCTTCCAAGCGTCCGCAGAACGTGCTCTTTCATGTGTGTATCTACTCTCTCTATATATATATATATGTGTGTATACGTAAGCATGTGCGTGTCCATACGCAAACAAATGTGAGCACGTGCGTGTGCGGCAACGTGCGTGCACACGCGCACATGCACGAAAACGTATGTTAGTGTGCTCGTGCACGTCACAGGCAATGTCCCCTCTGATCGCTTCCCTGCTGCTGCCTTTGCACAACAGGCGTGGAGTAATCTGGGATTGTGTCTCATCGTATCTGCCCCACCCTGGAGATGCCCTGCGTCAAAAGATTCCTCTTGATCCGTCATCCCTGCCCTTTGGCCTGCCCCGCGCGGTAATGAAGATGATGGAGACCACGCACAGCAGCATTTTGGTGCCTGAGTTCACGCGGGGACCAATGTTGCCAGGGTTCATCCACATGGTGGACACCTCGGTGCCATCCACAACTGCCGGGACACGTGCGTGTGCAGGCAACGGCAGCCCAGCGACATCTGAGACGTCGAACCACAGGCCACCCAGCCAACCAGAGAACCAACCAAAGCAACGACAAAATGCGGAAACAGAGACGTCTCGAAGGTTCGCACGGATTTCTTGGGTCAGCGCTGGCCCACTCCCTCCATCCACTGCGCTCGGAGCACGCCGGGGGCAGCGCTGGAGGCGCCGCCATGGGGCGTCTCCAGCCGACCCAAGAAATACGCGCGGACATCCGACAGCGTATGTTTATCCGTTTCTCGGCTCCTCCATAGCCGACTAGACGTCTCGCCACCTGTAGAGTTGTCTAGCCAGCAAAGCAGCAAGCCAGTCGAACAGACAAACAAATGCTTCATATCCCAGAGTACGTGGCCCGCCCCACGATGAGCGGGAGCGAACGGGGAGCACGACTCTGGGAAAAAGGAAGACCAAAGGAATGCTGCAGCGACTGCAATTCAGTCGGGCATGTCCCCCAGAAAGGCAGAGTTTAGATGACAAGTAAAACTACCCCAAAAATATTCAAAAGTAGTCAAACAAATGCTCAAACAAAAATATCCCCAGACTATTTGTTGACTATGTTCGAATATTCCTCCTGTAGAGGGACATGTCCGATTTCAGACTAGAAGTTCACTTCATTTGGAGAGACCGTCGACCTGCAGATGTGCCAGCATGACGCTGGCCTCCAGAACCTGAGAAATAACGAGCCAGTGAGGAGAGACGGCCAAGGAGAGGAGTAGCAGGCGGAGGAGGCTGGGGAGAAAGGGGGTTCGCGCGTCTTCTTGCAGCCCCATCCCCTCCTGCCAAGAGCCGTCACTCAAGCACCAAAGTCGCCACTCGCGAGTGGCGTTGACAGTCGCGCGAGCGGCACCAGAAGACGACGGCAGGCGGAAAAGGAACTCGGATGAAGGGTGAACTGGGAATCTCTGAGAGCTGGCAGGTCTGGAGGATGTATCCTCGCCATCGCTCGGACGTCCATTCCCTGTGCTTTTTTCAGTTTCGTGCGTGTTTTTTCTTCGCCAAATGATCAAGGATGCTCCTCGATGGTCCTCGCCGAGGGCAAAATGCACACGTCCGAGCGATGCCAAGTTATCGAGTGCTGGCGGGTCTGGAACCTATGAGAGCTCGCTGGCGGCTGTGGGAGCTGGCGCCGCGGCCGCTTCACAGCGCTAGCCGGAGCCCTCCGGGAGCGCTCCAAGAAGCTCTGGAACGAGTCGTATTCGTCCTGGGCCTGCCTGGCATGAGCGTGATACGTCGCGCGCCGGCATGGCTAAGCTCAGGTCGGGCATGTCCCCCTACAGGCGGAGCTCAGAAGGATCGAACGAACGAACGAAGGTGCCGTCGCCGGGAAGAGCCCGCGTCCCCGCAAGGGAGGCACGCGCGCCTGTAGCGCGCTGGCCCTCTGAGAGGACCGGGAACATGCTGCAACACACGCATGGCGATTCAGTGCCTGTGCGGAGTAGGAGGAGACAAGAGAGGCAAGAGGGGCGCAGACGGAGCTTGGAAGGATCATAAAAAATGATCAAACTAGCCTGGCCAAGGACCCAACCGTATGCAGTTGTGAACACCGTCGTTGTATGCACCGCAGTCGGAGGAGCTCCCTATAGGGCCACGAAACGTGTGAGGGGTATGCCAAACTTTGTCCGGTGGGCGCATGCGAAAGCAGCCACCAGGGCCGTCGGTGGAATTCCCGATGGGGCCACGAAACGCGCGAGAGGTGTGCCGAAATGGGTGTGGTGGGCGCATGCGAACGAAGCCACTGGGGCCGTCGGAGGAGCTCCCTATGGGGCCGCGAAACGTGTGATGGGTGGGCGGTCCCACTGGGGGCTTCGGTGGAGCTCCCTATGGGGCTACGAAACGTGTGAGTGTGCCAAATTGGGTTTGGGGGACGCATGCGGGCGGTCCCACTGGGGGCTTCGGTGGACCTCCCTATGGGGCCACGAAACGTGTGAAGAGTTTGCCAAATTGGGCTTGGGGGACGCATGCGGGCGGTCCCACTGGGGGCTTCGGTGGAGCTCCCCATGAGGCCACGAAGCGCGTGATGAGTGTGCCAAATTGGGTTTGTGGGACGCATGCGGGCGGTAGCACTGGGACCTTGGGTGGAGCTCCCTGTGGAGCCACGAAACGCTGTACTGGGTGGGTGAAACGCAAGGATGATGGGGAGGAGGGAGGAGGGGGAGGGAAGAGGGAGGAAGGAGGCTGAGGAGGAACGTGGGGACCGTCTCTTCAAAACGAAGACCCAACACCACAGGATGGTGGGAAGTTGCCCCCAAATTGTCAAACTAAAATCAAAAAATCGTCCCCAGACTACTTTTCAACTATTTTTGAATATTCCTCCTGTAGAGGGACATGCCCGACTTGAGGCAAAGCTCATGCACTCGACGGATGCTCAGAATGCACGGTCCCGCGGCAGAATTGCCGTCCAACCCGAGGCGTTTCCAGGTCCTCGATCCTCGCCCTCCCCCATCCACCTCCTCATCATCATCCTTCTCCTCGTCGTCGTCCTCCTCCTCCTCCTCATCACCATCACCATCACCATCACCATCACCATCACCATCACCATCATCATCATCATCATCATCATCATCATGATCATCATCATGATCATCATCATCATCATCACTATCATCATCATCATCATCATCATCATCATCATCATCAGCATCATCAGCATCGTCATCATCATCATCATAAACATCATCATACTCATCATCATCACCATCATCAGCATCAGCATCAGCATCAGCATCATCATCAGCATCATCACCTTCATCATCATCATCACCACCATCCATCATCATCGGCATCATCAGCATCAGCATCATCATCATCATCATCATCACCTTCATCATCATCATCACCACCATCCATCATCATCGGCATCATCAGCATCATCATCAGCAGCATCATCATCATCAGCAGCATCATCATCATCAGCATCGGCATCAGCATCAGCATCAGCATCAGCGTTCGCATCATCAGCAGCATCATCATCAACGCCATCATCATCAGCAGCATCAGCATCAGCATGATCAGCATCACCATCATCATCAAAACCACCATCAACATCATCATCATCATAGTCATCACCATAATCAAAATCAGCATTATCATCACAGTCATCAGCATCAGCATCATGATGATCATCATAATCACCATCACCAGCATCATCAAAATCGGCAGCATCATCATAATCAGCGTCGTCATCATCATCATCATCAGCATCATCATCATCATGATCTTCATCGTCATTATCATCAACATCATCATCATCATCATCATCGTCATCATAACCATCATCATCAGTATCACCAGAACCGGCATCATCATGATCATCAAAATAATCATCATCGTCATGGACAGCATCATCTGCATGATCAGAATCATCAGAATCATCATAATCAGGAGGGGAAAGCAGGCCGCTCGACGATGTATTTGTCAACTAACCATCTTGTGCCATCGCCGCGACGTCAGGGAGCGAGCGGACGAGGGCACGAGAGCCTCGAAAAGTTAAAGTGAGCGAACGAAGAAACTGAACAACGTGAGACAAGCATCCTGGAGCAGAGGCACTGGACTGGCACAGGGAGGCGGAAGAGGCTTGGACCGCGGTGGTTGCGGTCAGCACAGAGAATGCCCGCGGCCAGCCCCCTCCTTCACGTGCACGCACCCCCAGGAGGGGAAAGCAGGCCGCTCGACGATGTATTTGTCAACTAACCATCTTGTGCCATCGCCGCGACGTCAGGGAGCGAGCGGACGAGGGCACGAGAGCCTCGAAAAGTTAAAGTGAGCGAACGAAAAAACTGAACAACGTGAGACAAGCATCCCAAACCTCCCAATCCGAAGGAAAGAGTTCTCAAATGTTATATTCGTTGCGGGCTTTCGAGACCAGAATGGAAGCCAGCACATGAGCAAGGCGCGCAGGGTACGGCATTGCCAGGACCGTCCAGCGAATTCCTTGTGGCCCTCCGCCTTCCAAGTGCTGGTGAGGGCGGCCTGTGCGACTACAGAGACCCCTCCCTGAGCAGACCCGATTCAACTTGACAAGGTCGTCAGGGCACACATTACCGACTAAAAAACGGGTCCGTTTCCGCCACGGCTTACCCCACTGACAAAAATCTGTAACAACTGGAACGGCACCGCTGCGTGCAACAAAAACCTTCATCTTCTGATCATGCCACATTTTGGAAGTGTGAGGGTTCTCGAGAACCCAGGGAACCCCGGCGGACTGGGAGGCACGGGCCAAGTCGAGAGCTGCGTCCAGCGTGGCGTTACCGAGATCGACCTTGGCCTGGTCGTTTGCCCCCAACCCAGGGATCCCCCTAATATACTTCCGAGACCGAATTGGATATGCACGATCACGAGCGGCATACCACGAGCTACAGGGAGGAGCAAGCATCAGGGCTATACAACGTCTATTAGCGAGATCTTGTTTGATGGGCCTACGCACCGAGCTACTGCACAGATCTCCCGAGGCCCCATGCAAGAGGTCCCACTCGCGAGCGTTGAAACCATTAGACCGGATTTTCTTGCTAACTACTCCACATCCAGCGAAACAATCAGCTACATACGTCTTACTCACACATGCTGGCGACCGAAAGCTAGCGGGGCGCGCCTGCCGAGGAACACATCCGCGAGCAGTGACTCGCATCGCAGACAGTGGCTTCGGGTCAAGGCGTCCAGCTTTCCGAACTCCAACCCCGCTCGAGCATGTTTCTCGTATCGTGCTACTGACTTCAGTTTGCGCCACCGCCCCCTTTTCCTCACTTCCTGCAAACTCCGAAGCTCGCGCAGCGTGTCGTGGGAGGCCCCGCTGTGTCGCAACTGATACGGGACGAGCTTCAACCCCAGTGTGGCTCCTGCAGCCTGCACGTCCGCCAGTAGGTCTGGATACGTGAAGGGGAAGGCCCTCTCCGTCGCCGGCTTCGTCCTGAGCTCGTTCCAGACCACATCTAGCCACTTGAGCTCCCGCATGTCCAACTGCAGGCTGTCGTCGAGTGTGCCGACCTTGGTAGGGACGCCTAGCTCCTCGGGCGCCACCAGCAAGGTCCAGTGGCGGGATACGCCCCCCACCGGGGCCACCAGATGCCCACACCTCACGTTGAGCAACTCTGACGGCCTCAGGTAGCACATGAAGGCGAGCAGGATTGCGGCCGCCTCGCGGCGCTTGCCCTGCTCGATCAGCCAGTGGCACACGGCCGCCCACGCACACAGTGGCATAGGGTGGCGGCTCCGACCCGGGCACAGGCGTCTCCAGCCTTTGACTGCCCTCCAGGCGCGCGGGAGCGACAGGTGCCCCACATTCCCAAACTCCGGGAGGATATGCAAGACACCAGCTAGCAGCTTCTCCCCCACATTCGCCTGCCGTCCGCTCAGGAAAAGCTCCGTCATATGGATACACAACGTCCCATCGAGGCGGCAAGGCGGGTGGAGCTGCAGTCGCCTCAGATTCGCCCAAGTGTAGAAGCGAGAGACCAGGAGGTGGTAGTAGTCCCTGGTCTTGGGCTGCACGGCCTCCGACTCCAGCAGGGTGCTCAACTGGTCCATGGAGTGCCGGGCGGCTAGCAGGTACTTGGTCCGCCTCCGCTTGCTCCGGGCGACTGTGGTCTCGTCCAGGTCGTCGCTGTCGGAGCTCTCGAGGGCTGCGGATGCCGCGTCGCGGCCCAGGCCGTCGGCGCCCCCCTCGGGGGCCTCGGCCAGCAGCGGGCCCCGCGCCGCCTCCTCTACCGAGAGCCTCTCCAGCTTCGGCGCCGGCCGCGGCCCCAGCAAGGCGGGGGCGGTCAGCACGGGGGCTCGCCTGGGCGTTGGCCTCCGCGCCACGGCGGCCGTCGGCCTCGACGCCCTTCCCTGGCCCAACCCGGGGCGGGCAGGCGAGGGGCGGCTCGGGGCTGGGCGCCTTGGCGGGGCCAGGCGCGCGGCCCTCTTGGCCGCCGTCGTCCGCCTGGCTGCAGCGGCTGCCTGCCCCCGGCCCGACTCCATCGGCGTCTCGCGATGGGGAGTCTGCCGGGTTGAACTCGGACTTGATCCAGCGAAAATGCGGACGGATATATAGAGCACGAAAGCGTCGAATCTGTCACAGCACAATATAATTCTTACATCTCCTTCGTGCAAAGGAAAGCACAATAGCCATGTTGTCGACCAGGAAAAGATTGCGACTGTCACGGACTCCCCCGGCGATCAAACTTTCCAAACCTAGAACCAATGCACGAGCTTCTAACTCCAGGATACGCTCTCCGAACTTCCACCTCCCCTTTCCAGTGACTCTCCAAGGTGATATCAAATCTTTCTCAGTGATGCAGCCACGGGCCGAGAACACGCCCCCTTCCCCGAACGGCACCTCCGGGAACAAGCTGTCGATCATCCAGACCTCCTCCCCTGACGACGACGGCAACGCCTCCCCTATGTCGACAACGCTGGCGGAGTCAATGAATGGCGTCTGACGGTGTTTTTCGCCTGCCTCATCTAAAGGATACAGTGCTGCACTGGCGGCCTCGCGAGCCCCGACGTTATGCACCCGTCGGAAGCGAGACACCTCTGAGGTACGAGCAATACTGGCCACAGCTTTGGCCGTCAGCGCACCACGGCAATGCCCCCATCCCTCGAGGGAGGCATCTGTAGCAATAATACAGGGCCCAGCGAAAGGCGCCGTCGATGCGCCACCTCCGCTTCTCGGTCACCCGCGTCTCGAGCAGGTGCCCGTCCAGCACGCAGCCCAACGTCTCGCCTCCTCCCGCCATCAGCTCATGCTCGTGTGTCTTGAGCCCCACCGCTCCCAGCGCCTCGCAGCCGGCGCCGAGCGCACGCTGCACGGGCGCCTCCGAACTCCCGAACACGTCCAGGTTGTCCACGTACAGGGTGTACTGGGTCTCGGCGCCCTTCCGCAGCACGACCGGCTCCGTGTGGTCCGTGATCCTTCTGCCAGGTCCCAGCTGGTGCACCTGGTTGAGGACCGTCTCACTGCACTTCTGAGCCACCCACAGGGACCAGGTGAACCCCATGGGGAAAGAGGCCAGGCAGGGATAGACCGAGGCGTTGAGCGCCATGTCATCACGCAGTGGGGTGTACTTTGCGGCGATCGGCCGCAGCGCGAAACAGCGGTGCATCCCATCGGGCAGCCGCAGCCGGTGGAAGCACTTCTCCACGTCTCCCACACCCAGCGTGAAACAGCAACTGGGGTCGACGCTGAAGCCTGGCTCGCACTCTATCCTGGACAGCCCGTCGCTCGTGATCAAATCCGTGTGAGGGGGGGCCTTGAATCGGCGATTCCCTCGCCTCGCGTCGATGATGAGCCTCAGGGACTTGTCCTTCTTGCCAACGAAGAAAAGGCCCGCGTGCTCGATGGGGTCAGTGGTCCACTTGATCAGGCCTCGTCGGTCAAGGTCGAGGATGAACTGCCGATAGACCTTCTGGTTCCGCGACAGCCTCTTGTCCCAGAACGGTTTGATGTCACCCAGCCACTCGTTGAGCTGTGTATACTCATCGGTAGACCGCATCATACTCTTTTGCCAACCCTCGATAATCAGGCGGTCCTCAGCGCCAAGCACGTCTGCCACATCTGCAGCGTCATGGACATGGTCAGGGAGCGAGACGGAACCAAACTCGTAGGGCACGACGGTGGTGTGGGTCTCCTCGGCGTCGTAGCTGAGATGACCACGGAGAAGCACTCTGGCGGCTTCTTCCTGAGAGGGCGCTGTCTTCGGCTTCGCGACGACAGGGGCGACGAGGGTCGCCACGGCCTTCTCTTCGAATTCAGATGGCTCTGAGCGCGCAGAAGAGCGGCTGCCCAGACACCAACGAAGTGCATCCAAGGTCTCGTTCTTGCGCCTGAGCTCCTCCACGCGCAGCCCGCGTCGGTGTCTGGACCGACGGGAGGAGCCGCCCAGCCTGGCTGGGACCTCGAAGGCGGGCAGACGCCGATGCACTCCCAGGCAGGGCCCAAAATAGGCAGCGGGGGGTGGCCCAGTCCCCCCGCCGCGCGCCTCGCTCATGTCGAAGGCGGGGGCGCGGTGAGCCCGGGCTTGCCCTTCATCTTCGGCTTCCCGGTTCCGCGTCCCCCGCCGCCCTTCGGCCCCGCTGGGGCCCCGGCCGAGCCGGCCGCACCTGTGTCGTCGTCCTCGCCGTCCTCCACGTGCTTGAGTGTCAGTCCTCCACGATGCACGCTGCCCTCCAGCACCTTCTCCTTGAGCCTCTTGGCGCCGTGCACGCGGAGGTCTGGTGCTACTGCGTCCTCCAGCATCGCCGTCCCCGAGTACACTCCGGCCATGGAGTAGTTCGGCTTGGCGCCAGGCACAGCGTGAGCCTCGATGATGGTCTAGACCTACGCATCAGCACCTCGATCCCCGCCAAGCACGGCATGTTGACCTGGTCGTAGCACCCGAACATCTCGAAGCTCTCGGCGAGCACCCGCAGCTCGTGGAAGGCCCTGTCCGACGGCGACATGTGCTTCCGTCTCGCCCAGGCCTCCAGCCACGAGGTGGGCATCGGGTCGAGAGGCCAGTCTCGGAACTAGTGCGAGACTGACTCACCGCACACCATCTTCCAATCCTTGTGCCTCTCTCCCTGCGAGTCCCAGTCGACCGCGAGCACTCGGACGTCCGCGGAGGGCTCCTCTGCGCTGGCAGCTGGAGCGGCCACCTGCCGCTCCTCGAGCGGGCTGCCGACGCCCGCGACGTCTGCCTCGCGCCCGCCAGCCTCTCGGCGGAAAGCTGCGACAGGATCGGCGTCCAGCTCGACGGCGGCTGACGGCGCCCCACGCGGCGTCGGTGGCGAGAACAGCGCCAGCCTCTGGGTCCTGAAGTCCTCCAAGGTCATGCTGGGGTCGACGCCTATCACTGGGACCTCCATGCCGGCGTCGGTCACCGCCACTCCATGCACACGGCCTGCGAACGCAAGCAAGCGCGGAGCAACCTCCGTGCCGATGTCGCCGATCTCCAGTCCAGGTTCGGCCACTCGCCAGACTACGGCGGGCGCACCCCCGGCCTCGGCCCTGCTGAGCGCGGCACCCAAGAGGTCGCCACGAAGGTCGCCACCCGGCCCCGACCGCGCACGCGCGGCTGCCGTCAACGGCAGGGGTGGGCCGGGCATGGGAAGGCGGCCCCGCCCGGCGAGCCGCCGAGGCCGCGGCACTGCCTCCAGCATCCCCTCGGCCGTGATCCAGCGCGTGGGTGCAGGCCAGTCTGGCAGTCCGCGCTGGCCCCTCAGCACGCCGACGTGCCTCTGAGCGGACTCCATCAGGTCCAGGAACTCACCCCGCTGGATGGGGCCGTCGAACTGCACGATCGACTCGGCCTCCAGCCCTGCGGGTCGCTCCCCCAAGGACTTGAGCGCCACGACCTTGTCATACAGCGCGGTATCCTCCCCATAGAAGTCTCCATTGGCTGCGTAGATCAGCCAACACGAGGCCGAGAGCGGCCACGCAAGTACTCGTTCGTGCCCCCAGGCGTCACCCTCGAAGAACACCACGAACGTGTGCCCTGGCAATAGCGTAGTGCGGTCGGCGAGCGCCATGTTCCCAAGGCCTCTCGTGGCAGCCACACGAAGCCAGCACTCCACTCAGAAACGTAGTTGCCGCTCCGAAGCTCAGCTGCCACCAACCGACTGGCGTCGACTCCGGCTCGTCCACAGAGGCGAGCAATGGCGCCTCCTGACACTCCGGCTCCCAGGGCGGTCCCGCGAACTCGGGGCACCTCTCAGGAGCAGGGCACGGGCTGCACTCGCGGGCCTCGAAGCTCACGTTCCCGCAGTCGCAAGCAGCCGCGAAGGTCAACTCCTCGCACCTCTCAGGTGCCGGACAAGGGGTACACTCCTGCACTACAGGAAGAAGTCCTCCGGGTTCCGCGTCCCTGGCGGTCTCCCGATCTGTGATCCGCTCCCCGCGGCGCCTCGCCGAGCCCAGCGCGAACTCCGCCAGCCACGAGAAGCCCTCCAGCGCCAGCCCAGGCCGCTCCAGGAACAGCCGCCAGACACCGGCCACGTATGGCGTAGCGAGGACGGCTAGGGCACAGGGGCGGGGCATGAGCGCCTATCTGAGGCGGAAGAGCCGCGGTGGTTGCGGTCAGCACAGAGAATGCCCGCGGCCAGCCCCCTCCTTCACGTGCACGCACCCCCATTATCATCATCGTCCTCATCGTCATCATCGTCATCACCATCACCATCATCATCAGTATCATCATTCTCAACATCATCAGCAGCATCATCATCGTCATCATCGTCAACCTCATCGTTAACAGCATCATCATCAGAATCAGCGGCATCAGTGTACCCAGAAGAAATATCACCATCAACATCAACAGTATCATCAGCATTGTCATCATCAGTGTCATCATGACCACAATCATCTCCGACATAAGCATCAACAGCATCAGCATAGCATCGTCGTCGTCATCATCCTCATCCGCATCCGCATCCGCTTCAGCGAAAACATCATCATCATCACCATCATCACAATCAGCATCATACCTCGGCGTGGACTTTCGCGCGGGCCGCCGCGCCCAACTGCGCGGGGTGCCTGGTGCTCGTCGCAGCGGCGCCGCCAGCCACAGACGCGAGCTCCCTGGCGTCGTCCACAGCGCAGGCCCTGTGAGGAGGGCAAGGCTACGCCTGGGCCGAGCGCGGATGCGCAAGGCGCTGCAGGCGGCCGCCGTTGTGGCGGGATGCAAGCGGGTCTCGCACACTGCGGTGCTCCCGTCTGCACGCTGGGGTGGCGAGGTTACGGGTTTCACGGACCTCGAGATCAGCGACCTCCGCTCCCGCGCGAAGCGCGTGCACGGGCACCCGTACGTCAGCAGCGACATCATGGGCGCGCTGCTTCCCGCCTTGGATCCGCTGGGCGACCTCGCATCGGCTGGCATTGTGAGGTACGCGGAGGAGTGGTGGCGCACCACAGACCGCAGGCAGGCGAATGGGCGCGTCATCCCAGCCCCCTGTCTGAAGGCTGCCTTCGACGTGGCCCTCGGCGACTACCACGAGGGTCGCGCTGAGGCAGGGCCCATTAGGGCCATGTTGCGCGTGCTGAAGTGGGCGGGCTGGACCGCCATGCATGCAACCTCCTTCCTCTCGCACACGCATGGCGAGATCTCCGTCCTCGCTCGAGGGCCCAAGGAGGTTGGCCTGATCTTCCAGGCCGACGTGCTACGTGAAGTTGAACGGCGTGCGGATGCAGCTGCAGCCTCGCTCTTCGGCCTGACGGACACGCCGATCTGGTGGGAGGCGTTGAGGACTGTCGTGGGCGCCAAGCGCATCGACCCCCTCCATCGCCACATCCTCGTCTCGGTGTTCGGCGGCACGTTCATGACCAGGACGCTGGCCGCCCGACGGGGCTACGCGATCAGCCCGCTGTGCCCGGCATGCGGCGTCGAGGACACCCCGCTGCACCGCGTCATGGACTGCGGCGCGCTGGAGAGCGGCAGAAGTGAGCAGGGTGACGCCTGGCCCGAGGCCGTCGCCGCCCTCCGCGCCTGTGCCGACTGCACTCTCGAGTGCCACCTGCTGCCGCAGGGTCCCTCCCTCCACCTCGCGCCTACTTCGTCTGTCACTCGTGCTTTCGTTGGGGATGAGGAGGTCAGTCTGTCGCAATTCCGTTTTGTCTCAGGGGGGCCCGTGGCTGGTGACGGATCGGCCTCGACTTCACTGCTCGAGTCGCTTCGTCGGGGGGGGGGTCGGGGTTGTGCACTGGAGCCCAGCCACGGGCAAGCTCCACCGTCTCCTAGGGACCCCCCCGCCCACCTCGGCCCAAACGGCCGCGGAGGCGGAGCACCAGGTTTTTGCGGGAGGGGCCAGATTTAGTGATGGCTCCTGTGGCTACGTTGGGGATTGCTCGGCGGCCCTCTCAATTGCCCGTGCCGGGGTTGTGGCAGGTGCGACCCCCAGAAGTCGCTTCGCTGGCCTCTGGAGGGGGCTGCCACGGCAAGACGCCGCCTTTAAAGGGTTCCACAAGCAGAAGGCCCATGTGGAGGTCCCTGAGAGCCCCGCGTCTCCCGCTGGATGGAGGGCCCGGTTAAATGACCAGGCCGACCAGGCTGCCAAGTCGGCCTGCAAGCTGCGCGAGATCCACGGCCCCACTCTGGCCCATCTCGAAAACCAGCTTGCGCGGGTCTCGAAATTCGCCGCAGCTGCTGCCCGTGTCCTTGCCTCGGGGCCAGCACCCCGAGTTGAATGGAAGGACCTCCGACGGGCACAGCGCCCCAAGGTCCCCGCCTGCAAAATCGCCCACGATATTATCCAGGTCGAACCCTCCCGCTGGCAGTGCAAGCTATGTTTGAGGTCTAAGGTGACCCCGCACAGTTCCCTGGACCAGCGGGACTGTAGGCAGAGCGACGTGCCGCCCAGCTTTCAATGTGTGACCGAATTCGCCCACACACACACACGATATTGAGTGGTGTGAGCTCACCCCGCGGCCTGAGGCCGAGGTGGGTGACACCTTGCTGTTCTGCAAGAAGTGCTGCCAGTACGCTTCCACGAAACCACTGGGCCTCGGCAAGGTTTGCCCCAGTTTTGGGATCCCCGGGCGGAAGCGCAACGAGGCAGCACGACACAAGTTGCGCCGATTTCTGCAGAGCAAGCACACCAAGCACGGGAATGAGGATAGGATTATTGCTCATTGGCCCCATTTGGGGCAGCTGCACGGAGCTGGCAAGGCTCCAGTTTCTCCCCGCTAGGTTTCGGGCCCGTTTCAAGCTGGCCCCAGTGGCCAGACCTCTGCTGAGTGGAGGAGGAAAACCTCTCCTCCTGTATGCTCCTCCTCCTCCTCCCCGACCTCCCTAGCTCTCCTCCTCCTCCTCCTCCTCCTCCCCCTCCTCCTCCTTCCTTCGTTCCGCTCGGCTTAACGCGGCCCGCGGCGTCGGGACCGCGCGGCCGGCCGGGCCGCCCGGCTCGGCCCGTTCATTCCGCGGGCGGCCTCCGAGCGCCTGCCGCGCGGCGATACTCCCCACGGCCGAGGGCGTGGAGGGTGACGCCCGACTCTATGCGGGGGGCGCTCGCCCTTCATTTCCGCGAGGAGGGGTCCCTCGGGCGGCCCCCCCAGCACGTAGCTGGCGGAGTGCCGCGCGAGGGCTGCCCCCGGCAGCCCCGCTGTGGTGAGCGGGTTGCTGCACGGCGGGCACTCGGCCCGGAGCGGACAGTCGCGGGGCGGCGCGCCGGGCCCGGGGAGAGGGGCGGGGCCGGGCCGGGGCGCCCCGGGGGCGGAGGCGGGGGCCGGGCCAAGACGGGGCCAGGGCGGCAAGGGGCCGAGGCCGAGGCCGGGCAAGGGAGGGCAGAGCGGGGCCAGGCGGGCCAAGGGCAAGCCGAATCCAAAAGTGACCACACCAGCGTTGGCGGGTCGCTTTTGAAGTCGGCCCTGAAGGCGGGACGGGGCCCAGGGACGGGGGCCCAGGCCAAGGGCCGCATGGCGGCCATGGGGGGCCGCGGCCCGCCCGGGCCAGGCGCGCCTAAGCGGCGCTTAGGGCGCCCCTGCCAGGCGGCCCGCCAGCGGGGGCGAGGCGGCCCCACGGAAGCCACGGCAAAGCCCCATGAGACACGGGCCAGGGACAACGGGCCGGGCAGGGCATGGGGGGTCTGAGGACTCTGTACCTGTCCGCTCCGGCTGGACCTAATTTCTGTTGCGCCTCCTGCAGCGCAACCTCGAGGCGGCGCGCCTCCCGCGGCGGCGGGCCGGTGGGGCGAGCGGCCGCCCGCGGGCTGCAGGGGGGCGCGGCCACGGCTGGGCAGGCCGTCTGAGGACCTGCGCCGCCCGCCCGCAGAAGCAAAGCAGGTGGGCTGCGGTCTCCTGCGACTGGCCGCAGAGGCGGCAGGGCCCGGCGCCCCCCGCCACGTCGCATGCGAACGAGCCCTGCAGGCACAGTCGGGCCCACGCGCGCACCTCAGGGAGCGAGGCGCCGGACGCGCTGCGCTCGAGCGCCGTGTGGCCCGCGCCCGCCCCGCGCGCGAGTGCTTCCTGCTGCGCCGGGCTCGCCAGCCTGTTCCTGGCGCTGCGCCGCCTGCCTGACGAGGTCGCGGCACCGGGCACGGGCCCCCAACCCCGCTTGCGGCCCCGGCGGGCCCGGCAGGCCCCAGCGGTGCAAGAGTTGGCGGACCCGCCGCGCCCAGGAGCCCTCTGCCTGCGCTGCGATGCCCAAGACGCGCTAGGCCTCAGCATATCGGGGGCCCCCCTGGGCCTGGCGGCACAGCCGAATGGCGCGCTCCTCCATGGTCGTGGCCCAGCGGGCTGTCCATCCCATGTGGCGCAGGAGGAGGGCCCGCGGGATCGGCCAACGCACTCCAAGGGCCCCCCTGGCCCAGCGCTCCTGGAGGCGATTCGGTGTCGCTTGGAACCCCTCCACGTGGACGCAAAGCTCAGCCCCGTGCGCCGCCTTCGGGAGCGTGCTCGCGGCGAGGCCCACGCTGAGCTCGTGGAGCGCGAAGCCGAGCTGGTCCATCGTCTGGGTGCGCCGCCGGCCCACTGCGAGCGCGCGCTGCTCGATGGCCAGGAGGTGCGCCTGCACAGGCGGCCCGGCGGACCTGTGGACTGAGGCACGTATACCCGTCCACGAACCCGACGCCATGGACGGGCCTGGTGTCTGCGAAGCCCCGGGCCAAGATGGCCGTCTTCGTCGGGCCGTACCGGTGGTGTCCTCGGTGGCGGCGCGACGCCGTCTGCAGGGCGCGGACGAGAAGTCCGCACTGCGCCCGTAACCCGGCCTTGGCGCGGACGTCGTCCACGAACGCGCGCGGCCCAATCCTCGTCTCGGAGAACGCGTCAAACAGGCCCTGCTGGACGGTGTCGGAGGACGACGCCGCCATGCAATGGTTCCAGTCCGCGTGGCCGTCCGCGAGGAGGGTCGCCCAATGGCTGATTTCGTCGACGTCCAGCGCCTCGGCGTCAGAGCCGCCCCGATGGCCCCTGTAAGCCGCCACCGCGGCCGGCGGCGGGTTGCAGCCCAAGGCCCACGCCCGGCGTGGCCGCAATCTCCTCGACCTTGGCCGCGTTGGCGAGGTTGCATTTGGCCGGGCTGAGCTTCCTGCCCTCCGGCATGCCGACCCGCGGCTTGAACGGCCGCGTCGCATGCGAACGAGCCCCGCAGGCACAGTCGGGCCCACGCGCGCACCTCAGGGAGCGAGGCGCCGGCCGCGCTGTCTTCGAGCGCCGTGTGGCCCGCGCCCGCCCCGCCCGCGAGTGCTTCCTGCTGCGCCGGGCTCGCCAGCCTGGACTGTTCCTGGCGCTGCGCCGCCTGCCTGACGAGGTTGCGGCACCGGGCACCCCGCTTGCGGCCCCGGCGGGTCCGGCAGGCCCCAGCGGTGCAAGAGTTGGCGGACCCGCCGCGTCCAGGAGCCCTCTGCCTGCGCTGCGATGCCCAAGACGCGCTTGGCCTCAGCATATCGGGGGTCCCCCTGGGCCCGGCTGTACAGCCGAATGGCGCGCTCCTCCATGGTCGTGGCCCAACGGGCTGTCCACCCCATGTGGCGCAGGAGGAGGGCCCGCGGGATCGGCCAACGCACTCCAAGGGCCCCCCTGGCCCAGCGCTCCTGGAGGCGATTCAGGGTCGCTTGGAACCCCTCCACGTGGACGCAAAGCTCAGCCCCGTGCGCCGCCTTCGGGAGCGTGCTCGCGGCGAGGCCCACGCTGAGCTCGTGGAGCGCGAAGCCGAGCTGGTCCATCGTCTGGGTGTGCCGCCGGCCCACTGCGAGTGCGCGCTGCTCGATGGCCAGGAGGTGCGCCTGCCCAGGCGGCCCGGCGGACCTGTGGACTGAGGCACGTATACCCGTCAACGAACCCGACGCCATGGGCGGGCCTGGTGTCTGCGAAGCCGCGGGCCAAGATGGCCGTCTTCGTCGGGCCGTACCGGTGGTGTCCTCGGTGGCGGCGCGACGCCGTCTGCAGGGCGCGGACGAGAGGTCCGCACTGCGCCCGCAACCCGGCCTTGGCGCGGACGTCGTCCACGAACGTGCGCGGCCCAATCCTCGTCTCGGAGAACGCGTCAAACAGGCCCTGCTGGACGGCGTCGGAGGACGACGCCGCCATGCAATCGTTCCAGTCCGCGTGGCCGTCCGCGAGGAACGTCGCCCACTGGCTGATTTCGTCGACGTCCAGCGCCTCGGCGTCAGAGCCGCCCCGATGGCCCCTGTAAGCCGCCACCGCGGCCGGCGGCGGGTTGCAGCCCAAGGCCCACGCCCGGCGTGGCCGCAATCTCCTCGACCTTGGCCGCAATGGCGAGGTTGTATTGGGCCGGGCTGAGCTTCCTGCCCTCCGGCATGCCGACCCGCGGCTTGAACGGCCGCGTGCACTGGCCGCGCCCAGTGACCGAGATGGCGTCTTCCTCCTCCTCCTCCTCCTCCTCCTCCTCCTCCTCCTCCTCCTCCTCCTCATCCACCTCCTCCTCCTCCTCCTGAAGCCGTTGCGTGACCGCCCTGGGGCAAGGTGATAGAGCTCCCAGAGGTTGAAGCAAACAAAACGTCCGTCCCGATTTTTCGCGACGCGGGGAGGTCGGGGGTCCTGGTGTGAGTCCTGGCCAGAGCTTAAGGGGCGCATCTGGTCGCGGCGACGAGAAGTCCCCCCGGAGGCTCAAAAGTGCGAAACACTACAAACAGGAACGCGAAGCTCGAAAGTCGCACCTCTAGCCGTGGCGGCGAGGAGGCCCTCCGAGAGGTCCCAAGAGGCCATTTGCGGCCCCTGGTGGCATCCAGCAGGGATCACAAGAAGGGCGGGGGGCCCAGACGTCCAGCGGCTCGTGTTCTCTCTCTCTCTCTCTTTCTCTCTCTCTCTCTCTCTCTCTCTTTCTCTCTCTCTCTCTCTCTCTCTCTCTCTCGGCGAGGGGCCCACAAACCACTCGGCTTCCCCAGCTCCTGCCTTTGACGGCGACATGTGAGCCATCAGTAGGCACCCCACTGTGGGAACCTTGCTGCTGGATACCACCACGGGTGGGCTCGTCGGCCAGCCCATGCGACACCGACGGCCCGCACGGCGCGGCTTCGGAACCAATCGAGAATGATACCTCTGGGCCCGTCGCTGAAGAAGGCATCCTCGAGGTGATCAGCGGCTGGTGCCTGCACGGTGCCTCGTGCAGCAAGCGACCACACGTGAACCCTTTTGCCCCTGCAGGTCAGATCTCTGAAACGCCCGCCGGGGTTCAGAGTGAGAGGGATGTCTGCAGCCCAAGGAGCCCCAGCGGGGGCGCCCGTTACCCCAGCGCCGATTGGACCCGCAGGGGTGGGGTTCGCACGCGGCCGCATATTTGGGGATGGCCCCGGTGCCCGAAACCGGCCCCCGAAGGCCCGGGCGGCGGCACCAATGGCGACGGTGGTTGCAAGCTGCGTCGAGCCACGAGCCACCCAGCCAAGCAGGGAATCCGCCAGAGGAGCAACACGTGCACAAGTATCAAATTTCGGAGGTCCGCGCGGGTTTCTTGGGTCGGCGCTGGGCCCCCCCTCCCGTGCGCGAGGAGCGCGCCAAGGATACCGCCAGTGGCGCCGCAAGGGGCCGTCCAGCGCCAGCCCAAGAGATCTCGGCGGACCTCTGGAAGGCTATGTCTATACGTTCTTCGACCATCGACCAGCCAACCGGCCATCCATACACCTGTCCACTGGGATGGGCGCGTGGGGGGCTAAGAGGATAACGGGCGTTCTCACTGGCTGCCAAGGTGGGTTATAAGTTATATGTGGCCTGACCTAGCCTATAAGATGGCCACAGCTGCCCAAGTGGCTTGCGGGGGTCAGATCACTCAGCTAAGTGGTCGGAGCCCACCTCGCCCAGATCGTGACCCCCCCACAGCCAGGTTGGACCAGATTCTGGCACCCCATGGATAACCCCCTTTATCCCCCCAGAACCCCCCGCGCCCATCCCAAAGGAAGGCGGGCAAGAGAAGGCCCCGAGGTCGCCACCGCCAGGCCGGTCAGCGCCACCATCGGCAGGACGAAGTTCATCACGTAGAAGTGCGGGTGGCGCTGCAGGACCTCCCCCGCGAGCAAGGCAGGGCAAGGAGGCGAGGGGAGGGCCAGCGGGGACGACGTCGAGGAGGAAGAGGAAGAGGAGGAAGTGGAGGAGGAGGAGGAGGAACAGGAGGGGGGAGAGAAAAAGGACAAGGGCGAGGGGGAGAGGGGAGGAGGAGGAAACAAACGTAGAACAGACGTCCTGTCTGGCAAAATTTACTTGGATCCGCCACTCTCGACAGGAGCACGAACCGGAACCGCTGCTGGCGAAAGCTCCTCGGATAGCAAACCAACCAGGAACGCGGCCCAGGGTGGCGAGGACAAGGAGAACCCAAGGCAGGACAAAGAAGTGCGCCAGGTCCACGAGGGACGGCGACGGAGCAAGGAACTGATCACGTCGTCCAATGCGTCACCGCATACAGCGTGCAGACGCACGTCAATCGAGAGTGAGTGCGTGCTTTCTGTTCTCAACATATATCACGCAGCCTTTCACCATCAAAAATCACGCCCGCCGTACACGAAGGAGAAGACTCAGCGGGAAGAAGACCACCCGCTGGGATATCAGCACGCACGGGAACGTCTCGAACAGAGGTCTGCATGAGCTCGGCACGCACAGCCGTGCCAATGATGCCAGTCTCCAAGAGCTGCTGAAAGGTCGAGCCGACAGCATCTGTGATGACTTACTGTCAGATTTTGAGAAAACAGCTTCCCAATCATCTCAGCCAACTGTTGCAGAGCCGTGTTAAGAAGAGTGACCAGTTCTTTGAAGACAAACGCGTCGCAGACCGCTCTCCTGTATGTTTGCGCCAGCGCCGCAGACACCCCCAGCACAACCACATCTGCAGACATAGTGTGGAACAGAGTGTGAGTTTCTAGTGCAGCCTGCTCGTGGACGTCGGACATGAAGTCATTCACTTTCGCCGCATGCGCAGCCACCAGCTTTTGACAGTCATCCAAGAGACCTAAAAGCGGACCTTGGAGTGCCGCCGCACGTGGTCTGGCGAACGGCCGTCCTGTGGAACAGCCGTGACCAGCTGCTGCAGCATTTCTGTATCCTTACGGGCCGCATTTCGTAGGTGCTCCTGGCCCGGAGCCATGCGAATCGCAATGCACAACGAAGACCATCACAACGCACACGCTGGAGGCCCCGCATATAATCCATGTTCGAGTTCACCCAAATCAGCGTGCGGGATCATCGACACCAGGTAGGCAGCAAACTCAGAGTACATCTGCTCCAAGGGAGAAACAAAAAGAAGAGAATATTGATGGTGGTCACTGGGAGCTTGCTCTAACAAACCGTGCCGATCAAGGATACGCTCCATATCAAACATCAGGGCTGTTGAAACACAAACCGCAATGGCACCAGGAAGCGAAGAGATAATCGCCACTTCCATTTCCATCAGCTCAGATATACATACGAGTTGCTTCTCTTGTTGCCCAATCGCGTAGACAAAGTCAGAACAAGAAGGCAAGCTGGGCAGCAGCAGAGGACACCATCACATGAGCGTGGCTTGCCATGTCCTGCAGCTCGTAAAAAGCAGCCCACAAGACAGAATAAGAAACCATAGCCATCCAAATGCTGGAAAAGCGAAGAACGTCACATAGTTGAAATCACACTCATCAAACTCAGACTCGCGGAACGCCCGCCCTGCCATCTCTGAGCCACCCCCAGACCTTGCATGCCGCAAGGGCTCGGAGCGGCATGCGGCGATGGCACTCTCTCCAGTGAGCATGTGTACAGGAGGCGAGAACGCCAGGGAGTCCGAGCGCAGCACGAACCCAGTGGTATTGAGACTTCGGCAGCGGAGTTTCTGCCAGCGGCGCGCGCAAATAGCATTAGAATAACACACGCCACCTATCTCCAGACACTCGGACGAGGGGTTCTGGTAGACAACGTGTCGCTCTTGCTCAGCACGTCGAAATGACGATAGACACCGTCGCCCACCAGCGGATGAACCCGACTCGCAGCATTGGAAGGATGCTGAATTTTTTGTGGAACACATAGGAATGGCGCCGAATCGCCGACAACTGCAGCGCAGAGTCCAGGTGGTGGTATGTGCCATTTGTTCCAGAAGTCGGACTCGCGCCGCCAAGAAATTGCATGTGAATCGCATTGATTTCAGAGACAGCACCACTGCCAGTCTCCACCAGCAGAGAAAAAAAGCAGGCAACCATGCACAAGAAGAGAAAAACACAGCAGAACGAATTCCCCCACCGGTTCTTAAACCAAAACGGCTACGGATGGAAGAGGAGGCAAAGGAAAAGAAACAGGAAAAGGAGGTGAATTTTGAGCTCAACAGCTCTCCTCCACCAAATGCATGAAGTCTGACTGCGGTGGGGGACATCCGCATGCTAAAATGAAACTAGCCCAAGTCTCCTGATGACTCGCACGCCAGCACGCTGGGCGCAAACCGAGGCCTGCTCGTCATAGTAGACTGAGTGGCAGGCGACTGGAGACAAGTGTCGCTCAGCTGCCTGCTGCCACTCTCGCCAGAAACCGGGCGAAAGGACGGGCAGCACAACTGGGCGTCAGTGACTAACGCTGGAGAGGGGCCAGCACGCAAGTCCGCAGCCTCGCGTTCCAGGGCACTTTCACCTCCAGGAGGGATCACGGCCTGAGCACACGAGGGCGGAAGGGAGGAAGCGACGGCCACAACTGGCAGAGAATCACCAAACAGATGCCGAGAAGCTTCTTCCTCCGCATCAAGAGGATCGAGGGCGAGCTCGGTGCCACTCTCACCTCTCCCATCGGGTGGTGGCACCGAGCTCTTGGCCACTGAGGCCGAAGGCTCAGAGATACGAGGCTCTTCAGTGCAAGTCTGACCTGACTTGCCGCTCGCCGCAGCGGGGTTGGGCGGCATCTCATCACAGCCAAAAAACGGAGGCAACAAGACTGACATGCGCAGCAGGCCTGGCGCTGCTGCATATAGCGGCATCTCCTAGACGCGCACGGGCAACAGAAGTGAAGCACCGGATGAGATGTCCAGTGTGGACTCGAACTCCACTCTTACTGTACTGGGGGTGGCGACCATTGTTACACAGTTGGTTCCAGCCCGAACGCCTGGACTTCGATGGGACCTAAACAACGCTCGCCGAGGCCACGAACACTGGCACCAGAGGAGTAACAATAGCATCTGGTGCATATGAGCACCGAAAGGTCGTCACAATCCAAGGCAATGACACTGTGATTGAGCGCATCCAGCCTGGAAGCGTGAAGCTTGCTAAAATTGGAACAACGGCTGGGATCAGGGCAAGTGGCCGACCGCTTCCCCTTGAGACAGACCTCACAACGCCAGAGCCCCGCCCAAGGACCTCACCTGTGCCTGGGACCAGGAAGGGCAGAAATGGCCTTCAAAACCTCGACGCTGGACAGGTCCAGGGGCTCCCCAAGAGGTGCCAACCTAGCAGCTAGCTAGCATGAGCGCGCAACGGGCGGCGCGAATCATTCGGTCACTGGAGACCCAAGCATCCTCGCCACGCGGATGCAAATTGACAGCATGTTTCGCACCAGCGTCCGCATGACGATTTCCCACACGACCCCACCTCTCCCGACTATCAATGCCGAGCTCGTCGACATCCTCGCGAGCAGCAACTTTCTCACACGGCAGGAGGGAGGAGGAGGAGGAGGAGGAGGTGGAGGAGGAGCAACAAGGAGAAAGGCACCAGCATACACACGCTTGCCAGACAAATGAGACAAGCGAGGCTAATTTGCTAACTTCACCACGTTGGAGCAATCCGAAAACGCCTGGGAGTGACCAGGATGGCTTCAAACGCGGGCCCAAGCGTAAGCCGAAAACTCCGATCCCTGCAGAGTCTGTGGATGCGGACGGAGCCCACACAGAAGCACGGAATTCCGCCGCAAGAGATCCTACATCATCCACCATATCAATACACGAGCCTGCCCGGCTGAGCTCACGGATGGGATGGCTGTAGCACGACCCATCAATAAACAGCGAGCCCCAAAGAGTGGTGGGAGCACAAGGACCTCTGGGCGAGACCTGATCACGCTCATGCCACGCAACGATAGGACCGCCAGAGTGTTCCGTGGAGGGGCCCCTCCCCATCGCCGCCCCCCTCGTCGCCACTCCTGCCGGGGCTGGCGCAGCGCCGTTCGACGGCTGCATGCTCGTCCGGGGACCTGTCCAGGAGCTGAACAGCGTCGTCAATTCCCCCGGCGGCGGGGTCGAACAGGTGAACGGTCGTGACGCGTCGCGTTGGTTCCGCAGCGGGGACTGTCGTTTGGCCCTTCCTGGAGTGAGTGACTGCGGTCGTCGGCGGCGAGCATGGACCCGGCTTGAATTCGTGCGTGGGTGTACCCAAACGCCCCGATAACTCCTGCGCATTCCCCGCTGAGCGCCCGTGCTTCCGCGGCGAGCACATGGGCCGCTTCGCCAACGGCGCGCGACCCGCGCCCGCGCCACCCGGCGACCAGGGCGTCGAAGCCCCCTAAGGTCAGGTTTTGCTGCAGTAGGGCCAGGCGCAGGCTGTCGCAACTAACTGGCGCGGCCGCGTCTCACATGAGACCGACGAGGGCGCTGCTCCAAGTGCATCTGGCTGGCAGGGCCCACAGTCGGACGGGCCGCTGGACGCGTGCGACCTCGACCAGGGGCCCCCGCAGCCCGCCCGGGCGCGCGGCGTCCGCCGCCCAGCCAGATCGGTCACGTTCCGAGAGCACGGCGCTTTGCAGCGAGCCGTCTGCCGCTGCGCTTACGATCCTGCCTTGAAGGGAGGGGTGGACATGCCCGTTGATTTCGGGGGCCGGAACGGAGGCCCCCATGGACTGCGCCCGCAGTAGTCTGGGCCGCCGCCCCCATCTCCCCGACATGTGCTCCGCAGAGCGAGTCAGGCGCACGGGCGCTCAGGCAGACTGTCGAGTCGGCGGTTTGCTTCGCGCGCTCGAGGACCGGCGCATTCTCAGAATATGGCCGCACAGCTAGCTGAAGCCGCTCTCCCTCTTCACCGGCGCTGGCGCTCGGGCCGTCGACCGGCTGGAGGCAGTGGCTCGAGCCCGCGCGCAACGCCCGCGCGAACGCAGTCGGGCGCAAAATCATGCCCAGGCCGTCCAAGCAGTAGACGATGAGGACCCCGTCCTTGTTTGGAAGCACGCAGGTCAGGAGCCCCATGGCGTCGTTGGTCGCGCTGTCCAGCGGCGTCGCCAGCGGGCAGCGACTTCCGCTGCCACCCGGCACGTCCTGGCGAAGTGCTAACGCATTCAAGTTGAACGGCAGCCTGCCCGGGCCGAGCGACGGGCTCGACGCCCCATCGACGCGCGCAATTCGCGCCCTCGAACCTCGCGGCCAAAAAGTGCCTCGCAGACATCTCGAAGAGTCTCAGCACCGCCATGACTGGGTCAGTGATAAGACCAAACCGGCGCTCTCATCGCACGGCGTGGAAAACGGAAGTTCCGGCGCTGTCCTCGTCATCGTCGCCGTAGAAAATGCGCTGAAGCAGGAGCGCGGTGCTCCGATATCAGAGAAGGACTTCGTCGGGCGTTGAAGAAGGCGTCTGCGTCGAGGTCACGCCTGGCACTGGTGATCGGGGCCGATGTTCTCGACGTTCGTCGTCTTCTGGTCCTTCGCGACGCCCCTGAGGTCGCGCTGGGAAATCGAACGCGCGGCTCTTCGCGGCGCCCGCGGACGCCGCGGCAGTCCTCGCAGTCGTCTCGATCCTCAGAGTGCCCGCGCAGACGTCGGAGGCGCCGCTCTCCCTGACGCACGCATTGCTGCCCCTTGGAATCGGGTCGCGGAGAGCCCTCGCATCCGGCGCGGGCCCCTTGCCTGAATGATCTCCACGAGGCCTGTCGCTGCCTTCACATCCCTTGCCTTCCTTGCTTTTGTCAGGAGAACGTCGGCGGCAATGATAACCGCGATCAAAGTCGCCACGTGCCGGGCGATCGCGACCTGCTGAAAACCCAACCCGAGAGTGCAAATAATGCTATCGGTGGCCCCCGTAGGCTTCATTTTCGTCGATCTCGGCGATGGTCCGGCAGTCGTGCTCGACCTCGCCCCCCAGGTCCGTCGGCAACGTCGGCGAAATCGGCGTGCCCCAGGATCCAGCGCGAGTCGAGGATGCTGAAGACAGCACCGGATCTCGCCCGAGGTAGATCAAACAAAAGATGGCGCTCGATGCGTCGTTCGTCGCGTACGCGATGCGAGGACGAGATCGATTGAAAGCCCTCTGGGGCCGGGCAGTCCTGAGCGCGATGCCACTTTGATCCACGCGTCGCGCAATGACCAACACCAGTCCTGCAGCATCATTCCTTGAGAGTCTGCCCAGGCGGGCAGGGATCACTGATAAGGATGCTTTATACCCTTGATCCAAAAAGGGAGCCCTGTGAGCACGCGCGCTGCAGTAGAAGGCAAGATAAAGACAGATACTACACACACGCCTGCTAAATGCCCCGTTTCTCTGACACCCCTCCGTGACCATCGAGGCCTGTCCTCGTAGGGCACAATCCCGGGAAAACGGGGGGATCGGAGACAAAAGCGGCGGAACTTCGTCCTGAAACAAAAAAACGATGCGGGGCTAAGCTACATTAGACAGAGATGAGCCCAGATGCCAGAGTGCTCTGGAACTGCGAAATCCACTGCGCAAATCTCCAAGGAATCGGCATAGCGGGTGCCTATACAGGCGTGCAAATATGGAACTACACAGGGCGGCACCTAGCTAGGCTAGGGCGTAAACGAGACGAATGCGAAACCGAACGGCGCGAGGGAGAGGAGGCGGAGGAGGAGAAGGAGAGAAACGAAAATCGGGGGCGGCTACCCCTCCGCATCGCCTAGCCGGGCCTTGCGAGCACGGCGCGCCTCACCAGCCGCTGCCTTGGCAGCGAGCATCTCCTCCGTCTGGGCCAAGCACCAGCGGCCCTCGGTCAGCCGCTCGAGCAAGAAGCCCCTCTCAGCATCGGCCTTCGTCAAAGCGTCCGCGATCATCAACTTAGTGTCGATCCACCTGACACGCATCCTCCAGTCATCACCCTCGCGCTCCTGCTTCAGCACGTCATGTCCGAGCAGCTGGCGGACCTGGGCCATCAGAATCCGCACCCGCTTGTCAGCGGGCTGACCACCGTCCTTCTCCAAGGAGGTGACGAGGCCGTTCGCGTCCGTCAGCAGCAGCAGGTGCTTGCCGTCGAAGAACGGGTCGAACTGGTAGGACGAGTAGCCGGGGTCGGAGATCTCGGCGATCACATGCTTGAGGAACTCCGCGCTCTCGGCCGTCGTCTGGAAACCATTGCACTCAGCTGCGAGCGACCCGCGAACCACTCGCTTGATCGTCGCACTGGCCCATTCCAGCGGGTGGATGATCGCGGCAGTGTCCATCTCGAGGTCGGGCGACGCCATGCCGATGATGTAGCCGCACTGCGACTTGACCTTCTCGCCCAGCGTCAGGTCGTCGATGTTGCCGTGGCTGCTGTCACCGCAGCCGAACACGATAGCGCTGTCCCAGTCCAGGCTGGACGAGAACACCAGCTTGAAGTCGACGTCGTCCTTGGCCATCTTGATGGCACGGTTCACTGCGACGATGTCGCGGATCTTGGGACCACTCATGGATTGAACCCCAAGCGAAGCGTGGACGGCCAGATCAGGGCGCGTCTGCCGCGCTACCCAGCCAAGCGACCCAACACCGCTACGGAGGGCAGAGATCTCCTCCGGGGTGAGCGGCGCATTGGGCTTGCGCCGGCGGTGTGGCTCGAGGGCGATGTACTCCAGCGCCTCGACCGCGGCGGCCTGGCCGATCTTGATGTCGAAGGTCTGGCTGTCCTGCTCCACGACCTTGCCGCAGTACCTGAACGTGTCGGACTGGAAGGAGAGGTGAATCTTATCCTTGATGATATCCATCACGCGCTCGAACTGCTCGCCCGCGCCCGCGACGAAGAGGTCGTCGACATGCGTGCACAGCAAGCCGATGAGCTTGCCCATGCTGTCCCTGAGCATGAACAGGCAGGGCTCGTAGATGGACTCGCGCCAACCCTGCTCCACGAGGGTGGCGCGCAGATGCAGCCACCACTGCCTGCCCGCGTCCTTGGTGCCGATGGCGCCGCGAGCGCGCATGTAGGACCCCTCCGGAACTCCAGGTGGTGGAGGACGAGGAGCTCGAAGAAGCAGAATGCGCTCAATGCCCTTGGACTGCAGGTAGGCCGTCGCAGCATCAGCTGCCCTTACCTGCCACCGATGGGAGGCAGCGTAACTGGCGACCAGGTGGAAAGCCAAAAGGCTAGCAGTAGGAGCGTCGCCTCGGATATCATCTCCTCGTTCCTGGCAGCCCTGCACGACGAGCCGACTCTTGGCAGCGAGCGGGATGTCGTCGTAGGTCTGCTTGGGGTTGCGCTTCTTGGCGTTCTTGTCCGTGTGAACCCAGCGCGTCCCAACCGGGGAGGCACCCCTGTCGAGGAGCTCCTTGGCCTGGTTGGAGCTCAGCACCTCGACGGCCTGGAACTCGGTCCAGCTGCGCCACTCCTTGGCCATGGCCTGGTCGAACTCCTTCCTCTGCTCTGGGGCGAGATCTTGAAGTCTGATCTCGGAACGGACCGCGCCCTTGGTGAGGTAGGCGAACTCGACGGCGTCGTTCGTGCCCACGTCCTCGTCGGTGTGGACGAAGATGGTCTCGACCGCGGTGATGCCACCAGGCAGAGGCCGGCGAAGGCGAGCATCGCGAAGAGCAAGACCTCTGACGTCGATGTCATCGATCACGATGCCCGTCTTGATGTCCCTGGTGATGCGGCGAAGCACCTTGGACCAGCGAGGGCCACGCATGTCCGTGGCGATGAACTTCTTGATGCCGTAGTCGGTGCGACGCCACTCGTAGGCGACAGCCAGGTCCGGCTTGTAGTCGCTGGTGAAGAACACCTCGTGGATGGGCGTCCTCCATGACGCGGCACTCCTCCTCCACGTAGCCCTGGAAGGTGCGAGGCTTCTTGGTAGAACCCCGATCCAGACGCTCCGGATCACGCATGGCTCTGTCCAGCTGGGTAAGCGGCAGGCCTTTGCGCTTCTCCCCGCGCTCCAGGCCCTCGCCCATCTCGTCGTCCGGGGGCACCGGCTTGTCGATGGCCCCCTGGGATGCTCGAGGATCGACCCGATGACCTTTAACTTCGGAATAAATGCCGGGCTCGCCCGGGCCGTACGAGCGCGGCGGCCCCTCTGCCTCTGGGAGCCCCGGGCGTGGTGGCTCAGGAACCACAGGAGGAGGCTGATGCTGAGCTGGTGGTGGTAGTAGTGTGTCGTCAGTCTCCTGAATAATTGGAGATGCCTGTTGTGGTACTTCGTGAGATGCCTGTTGTGGTACTTCGTGTGATGCCTGTTGTGGTACTTCGTGTGCCGGTTGTGGAGGATCGACCCGCTGCTGTGGTAGATGGCCCTCGGAGTTGAACTCGTCGAGTTCGAAATTTGCATCAGGCCCTGGCCCGGCAGATCCGAGCGCGCCCCCAACCACCCCTCCGTGGCCAGCCGCGTGCTGTTGCGGCCTGGGCATCGGGGCGGGCGAGGCTGCCGCCGCGTCGGCCCGGATGTCGATATAGCGCCTGGCCCCCTTAAGAATTCAGCGACCGGAGGGACAGCAGGTCCGGGTTCACGTAGGTGTGCATGGCGAGCAGCTCGTCCTCGGAGGCGAACCTGAGTGATTCAGGGGCTGCGAGCACGGTGGTGTGCCCATAGCGCAGCCACGCCGCATGGGCCAGCGCGCCGACGGGCTCGTCGGTGTCGCAAGAGAGATGGCGAGGGTCGCGCACCTCATGCCCGATAACCCGGGCCGGCCCAAACCAGCGGCGCGTGACCTCGGGGCTCTCGCCGACTCGGGTTTGCGACCGGCGGAAGTACACGATGGCCCCAATGTTGAAAGGGCCTCGGCGGGGCCGCGCCTTGCGCAGGATGGCGCGCTTGACGCGGTCGTCGGAGTCGAGGCGGACGTGCGCGATGCGGGCCGCCTCGCGCAGGGCCATGGCGCGGGCCATGGCGGACTGTGGGTCGAGCGACGCCTCGATGACCTCCAGCCGCTGCGCCTCGTCGTCCTGTAGGAGGCTTCCTGGGACGCGGGGCCCGTGCGACCCCAAGACCCACTGCGAAGGGGGGAACCCCCCGCGCCGGCCCAGCTCGTTCTTGACCTGGGTCACGATGGAGGCCGTCTCCTCGACGTCATCCAGCCCCGTGACCTGGGAGTCGGCGACAGTGCGTCGCCAGATCTCTTTCCAAATGCCCCCGTGGCGCTCGCACTTGCCGATGAGGTGCGGCGTCTCCAACGGGGCCAGGTCGACCTGCACGCCGTGCGCCTTCGCGTTGGAGGCGAAATCCTTCATCCACTCCTTGCCCAGGTCCACCGTGAGCTTCTCTGGGTAGCCAGCCCACGGGGTCCAGCTGGTAGTGAACGCCTTGGTAGTGGCACGCGACGTCGGTGATCCACGAGCCGGGCCCATGCAGTACACGACTTGGAAGTTCGCGCCCTCGCGCAGATACAGTTCATAAAGAAATAAGGGGTCCCGGCCGCGTCGTAGGCGTGGAAGGTGTCCAGCTGGATGGCGTAGTTGAACACGTACTGACCTGGCAACCGCGAAGGTCGTGGGGCGCGCCGACGAATGGCGTCGCCACAGGCGTCGCAGGAGAAGAACTCCACGTACTTCAGCACCTCCGGCTTGACTCCTCGGCGCCTCAGCAGCCTGGTCAGCGTCACGTTCGAGCAGTGGTGGCTGACCTCCGGCGGGGCCTTCAGCCATCGCCTGCGCCGCTCGGCCTCCTGAGTGTTGGTGATGGGGCCGAGCTGAGCGGCCTCTCGGGCTCGCTCGCCGTCGGGATCGACGGCTGGCGGAGGTGGTGGCTCCTCCACAGCTTCTTGGTCAGCTGGGGGAGGAGCAGGCTCAGGCGCGTCCGGGTCCAGCGGTGGCGCTGGCGGCGCCCTGGCTGCCCGGCACGGGTGCCCCCGCAGCCTGGTCCGTCGTCGCAGTCGAACTGGCCCACGAAGGTCTGGACCGTCCTCAGCTGGGAACTGCCAGTCGGTGTCCGTGGCGTTGTCGACGATGGCCTGCTGTACGATGCTGCGGGCGACGATGTGGTTGAGCTTCTCCGGCCACTCGGCCGCTTGCAGGGTGCGCGGCCCGAACTTGTTGCGGCCCTTGAGCTGCTCGTGCTGGGTGCAGCTGCACTTCTTATCGGAGAGGGCCTCGACCAGCGTGTCCATGGTGGTAATGATCATCATGGGCTTGCGATGAGCCAAGCCTGACTCAGCATCGCGGTACCCAACCTGGCAGCCGTCGAAGGTGACCTTCTTCAGGATGCCCTTGTCCAGGAGAGAACGAATCCTTGACATCTCCGGCTGGTCGAAGGCCTCGGAGCCCTGGGGATGCTCCAGCGCCACGTGGAAGCCCCTCCGCACTCGGCTGTCCACTGAGGAGTCCACCTGCCTGAGAATAGGGCGGTTCGCCTCGCGCTTGGCCAAGATCTTCCTCTCGGACTCCGGGCAACGAGCCATGTTGAATCTGCTCCAGTTGCCCCACGGCGAGCAGGGGTGCGAGACCACGAGGCAGTACGGCTCCTCGTTGGTGATCTCCGCGTCGTACCTCTGCCTGCCCAGCCTGGTGGTAGCGCCCCAGCCCGTGTGCTTGTCCAGCGGGACGCCGACCGAGAGGCCCATCGCGGCCATGAGCACTGTCAAACCCATCTGGCCGGCGTAGGTCTGCTTGACCCACGTCCGGGCACCGGCAGGCAGCCGGGCCCTCGGCGGATGCTTCTCCACGACGGCCTGCACCACCTCGTCCTGCACGGCGATGGCCTGCAGGGAGTGCTCGAGCTTCTTGGACTTCTTGTTGGTGAGGTTGCGCTTGCCGCCCCACTCGATAGCCTCGGCGGCGAAGACGTCCGGTCCGTAGTCGTGGTCGACGACAGTCTGGAGGCACTCGTCGTCCGTGGTCTCGCCGATCTCGATGTCCAGGAAGCTGGGGAGAGGCTCAGCCGAGCTCTCCTCGATGGAGGTGATGCCGACGTGGAATTGCTCGGGGAAGTACTCGAGGTGGTGGTCCTCGGGCACCGTCAGCGCCGCCCAATCGGCCGTCTCGTAGCTCTCGTTCGGCAGGTCAAGGAGGTTGACCGCCGGGTGGCCCACCTTGGTGTGATGGAGCTTCAGGTTGTAGACGCCGATGTTGGCGAAGTCGGCGACATCGCCCTCTGTGGAGAGCCGCATGCTCAGCCCGAGCGTGGTGAGCATGTCCCTGCTGAGCAGCATCGGGCAGTCGCCCGGCACCTCACACGACAAGATCTCGCCGCACTTCCCGCCGATGCTCACGGGAAAACGAACCGCCGTGATGCTCCTCGCGCGGCCGCCGACCCCTCTGAATGTGCGGGAGGTCGGGGTCTTCACTACCTGAAGACCGCGCCTCGCGAGCTTACGCTCGAAGGCTGCCCGCCACGACTCGCCGTGCATGGTGCGCGTGCAGCCAGTGTCGATGACGGCGAGCACGGCGTCGGCGTCGTTGTCGTGCGCCGAGAAGGCGTTGCCGGTAGTGGCGACCATGACCGAGCACTCGTAGGTGGAGATGACGTCCGGCTGATGGATGTTGGGCTGAACCGGGATGGTGAAGCCGCCGGCGTTGACCTCCATCCAGTCGTTGTCGGTGGTGAGCCTCCTCTTGTCGCTGTCGATCATCTGCTGCGGGGCAACGTTGAACTTGCCACGCGCGATCTTCACGATGGCGTAAAGGAAGTACGCGTAGCGGTACACATGGGGGTTGATATCCTCCGCCTCGGGGACCAAGGCCTGATCCAGAGCCCACTTGTTATACCAGATGAGTGCCGGGTCGGACGCCGCATCCTGGAAGGTTCGCCCCTTGTGCGTGCCGAAGTTGATGACCTCCGCTGGGTACGGGACCGGGTCGAGCTGGTCGACGCCATCGAGCTCCGGGAACTCCACCAGCTCGATGCTGTGGTGGAGCGGGAGGCCGTACAGGAAGGCCAGCTCCGGTCCCGGCTTCGGCTCGGGGTCGCCTTGGGTCAGGTCGACCTTGATGATGCGCTTCTCGGGTGTAGGTGGTGCGGCCGATGCTGATCCAGTAGCACTCGGCCTCGTAGAACTGGCCGCAGACGCGGCCGCCGGTGTAGATGCACGTGGTCTATCGCCTCCTGCAGCCGGCCGGCCGAATAGCCGCTGCTTGCCGGTAATGCGTCGCGCCGCGGGCGCCGCCGCCCGCCTCCTCGAATGCGTAGATGGGAGGCGACCCTGAACCATCAGGGCGTCGACCACCATGGCGATCCGCTTCGCGAACTCCTTGTGGAACAGGAAGCGGCCCCACTTCGTGCCCATCAGGACCGTCATGAAGTAGCTCCACAGCTCAAGCCCCTCGTTGCGGTGGGCGAGCGTGAAGTGGCGGTCGCACTCCCTTGCATGTGATGCACCTGGTGGTCTTGTTGGCGCCGCGGACGACCTTCTCGCAGGCGTCGTCGGCCACGTGCTCGCAGGCGTGCTCCATCTCGCCCTTCAGAACCATGAAGACCTCGGACGGCGCGCTGTCGTCGTCGTTGTCCCCGTACTCCTCGAGCGTAAAGTAGTTCTGAGCGGGCTTCTTGGCTGGAGACGCCGACGTAGGCTTCCGGCCCGACCGACGAGGGCAAACATCATCGCCCTGCCAGTGCCCGAACTGGTGGCAGTCGGAGCACTGGGTCCGCTTCTTCAGGTTGGCGATGCGCTGCCGGCGAGCGTCGCGCTGTCGGTCGTCGTAGCCGGGGGCAGCGCTACTCGAACTGCTGCTGCCACCTCGCCCCGCGGGCGATCTGCTCGGCAATCCCCTGTCGCCTCCACGGCGGCCCCCCTTCCCGCCGGTCTTGCCACGACCGTGGATGCTTGAAGTCACTCGCCTAGGCGGCCTCTTCTTGTTGAAGATCTTGTTGCGACTCGGCAAGACGAGGGCGAGGGCCTCGGCGTCCTCGGGGCCGAGCTCGTCGAGGTTCTCCGCGACGTAGTTCTCGATGTCGAACTCGTCGTCCTCGCCGTGCTCGTACTCCTCCTCCTCGCCCTGGTAGTAGCCGCCCTCGTCCTCGTCCTCGTAGTAGACGTTGTCGAGCTCCGACGGGTTCTCGTCCTGGTCCGACGCGGCGCAGGCGTAGGCAGACCGCTCTCGGCGATCCGCGCGTCGGCCCTGATGACGATGTACCGCTGGGTACTGCGCCCTCAGAGCGTACTCGATGCCCGCGAGGTTGTACTCGTTCTTGTTGGAGGCGAGGATCGCGGCCTGCTCCTTCATACTGACACCGCAGAACCTGAGGATCAGCGCGGCCTGGATGTCCTCCGAAATCGTCGTGCTGGCGCTGACCTCCTGCAACTCGGCGAACTCCTTTCGCCTCCTCGTCACGTAATTAGCCATAGACTCGTTTCGATCACGCCAAACCGAAGAGCCATACAGCGCCTTGTCGAAGATCTCGGTGCTACGGACGGGCGCGATGTCCTGAACTTCCTTCTTCAGCGTCGTAAGAAAGAGGGTGAGCCCGTCCGGTTTGGACTCGCCGTACTCGTCAGTGGCGATCAGCTCGTCATGCTTGAGCTTGCGCACGGCCTCGCAGGCAGGACCAGACAGGCCCGAGCGCAAGTGCAGGGCCGTCGCGGCCTGCTTCGACTTCTCGCCCGTCCTGCCATGGTAGAGGTCCCAGGCGCGCTCCTCATACTCGTTGAAATACTCCGGCTGCCCGGCGTACTGAGGGATGCCGTTCCTGTCCAGATGGACATCTTCGGGGGGATGTTGAAAATGATGAACAGCAGCGTGCCTGTACAGGTAGGTGCCCTCGGCCAGCGCGGCGGAGAGCGCGTCGTCGTGGGCTGCCACGACAGCCGCGGTGGTGACCGCGGCGGCGGAGGGGAGGCTCGGCGACCTCCGGCAGCGGCGCTGGCCGCTGCCTGCCGCGGGGCGCCCGGGCGCGGCGGCCCAGCCCAGCGGCCTATGATGCGCAGGTCCCGGAGCAATCACGCTCCGCTTACCATGAGAGTCTGCCCAGGCGGGCAGGGATCACTGATAAGGATGCTTTATACCCTTGATCCAAAAAGGGAGCCCTGTGAGCACGCGCGCTGCAGTAGAAGGCAAGATAGAGACAGATACTACACACACGCCTGCTAAATGCCCGTTTCTCTGACATTCCTTCTTGGTTTTGCCGCTGCCATGGGCATTTCTGCCTTTGTTCCACCAGGTCTCGCTCTCGTCGCATCGATTGCTGCGCTTGCCTTTGACGCAGCGGTGCTTGTTGGAGCCTCGACCATTTGAACGTCCCTGACTCTTGCCTTCATTTTTGCTGCGTGTTTTCGCCGATCGCCTCTGAAGCCAAATCGCGGGCGAAATCCTGACATCTGGTAGGCCTGCTCGAGTTCCTCTAGATCAAGTCATGCCTCGACGTCGGATGCCTCGCACCAGCTGCTGTCGTTGTCGCACTCTCCGTAGCTGCTCTCGCTGGTCTCCGTTCAATACTCGCGACAGCTGGGGCCACTTTCCTCATCATGCGTCCAATCAGTGAGCTCGTCGCCTTCGTAGTCTTGATCGTATTCCAGGACATGCTCGCAATCATTCTCGGCGTCCAA